AAAAATCTTGTATAAATGGAGGCAAGATTGATGCAAGTTGTTGTGTTGACACATATCACAAACGAGCTTGTACTTACCAGTCTGGTTTGACCACAGGGATATTGTGTTGTAAAATGCCTGGTAGGTGGATTTTTTCTGTAATTTTGTGAGATACTTATTTTGTTATAAATTTTAGTCAAGGCAACTCTTTTAGTAAGTTATGTGTAATTTAAAATATTTCATTTTTACATCGTAATTTTTGTGAAAATATGAATATCAGCTCAGAAATTATTTTAGCACTAAAAGAGTCTATTAAGTTACATGATAAGGGTGTCTTCTGTTTCAATTGATTTGTATTTACTTTAAGTAAACCAACCTCCTTAGCCAGAAACACAAGGTGAAATATAATTTACAGTTGTTAAATTTACCATGGCGATTCCTACCTGCACCAAAATACATAAAACGAATATATATAAACCATTCTCATCTATATTGATATAGGTGTGAGCCCCAGAATCCTGGTGCCTCCACAAAAGAACATCACACTGCTCCAGGACCTGATTGTGGTGTTGACCTGTCAGGCTGCAGGAGTGCCCCACCCTACTATTACCTGGTTCAAGAATGGAAGGGTTGTCCAGGGTTCAAAGGGGAAAGACCACTCCTTAACCATTCTGCAATCAGGTGAAATATTTCAGTTGCAATTATTGGTTTGATTTCCTGTCTTTCTGACTCTGTGAATGGTTTTAGACTTACTATAATTTCTGTAATAGACCATATGCAAACAGCATTGTGTATAAACAAATCTTCCCCTTTATATTTTTGGCAGTGTCAGGGGTGCCCAAATTGTAAGCCACGATGGATTTAAAATTGGAAATGTCCTTTTGCTGCAAATTGCCTTGAGTGACCTTTGATTTTACCACGTATGCTCTTCAAAATATTCACAAAACTTTTTTAAGTGAAAATCTTTCAAATGTTTCCATATATTTACTCATTGAAGTACTTTACTTCTAGGTGATCTTGTTCTTCCTCTGGCCAAACCTTCGGACTCTGGGGTGTACACGTGTGTGGCTAAGAACGCAGAAGGTAGCACCAGTGCTCAAAGTGTTCTTACTGTAAATGGTAAGATATGACTAGTGTATGATACAATTTTTGCATGACACTGCTTGCATGTGCCAGAATTTTATGTAAAATGTTTCATAAAAAGGGACAGGAACAGTAGTGTTCACTGCTGTTTAAAATGATAAATGGATACAAAGCAGTTTGTGGTACAATCACTAAAACCTGTGGTAAATGTGTCTGTTCTTTTCTCTCTACCAGAATATGACTCTGGATGTGGAGATGGCACATCCGATGCTCTTCTTCGATTCACTGATATCCATGGTTGCACAGGGTCATGGAAAGGTCACGTGAAGACAGCCGATTACCTTTGCGCCCCAGGGTGGGGTGTGTGCGACAATACAGACACAGATCTGCTCAAATGGGTGACATCTGCTGATCTGGACAAGATGAATGGGTGCTATGCTTACAATATGGCAGGATATGGGAAGAAGTGCAGGAGGTAGGCTGAACTTGTTATAAATCCATGATGATTATTTCACACATTTGATGATTTTCAGATTAAGAACTATGAAATAAGATGTTATTTCTTTAAAGGTCCCAAATTGGCATTACTTTGGATTTCTCTTTTTTTTTTTTTTTTTTTTTATTATTATTATTATTAGTAAATCTATGAGTGTTCAGCTGTTAATTTTTCCACACCCCTATATTTTAGATGTGGTAGGAAGCGTATGGCAGGCATGGGAAACAGCTGCAGTAGAAGTAGCAGCTTAGACTCTGTAAATAGCTGTAATCTTAGACACAGAATCGAGGTGTATGGGCGGAGTAGAGACCCCGGCTGTGTGTATACTGAGGGCATTACGACAGGAGTCATGTGCTGTAGGAAAAGGGGCAGGAGAAAATGTGAGTTTCTTATTGTTTCTTTAATTGCTGATAGCTTCTGCAAATGTTGAAAAATGCATTTGTAGTAAGAGTGCATTTATCTTGGTTTCTGATATAAAGTTAAAGGCAAACAGTGAGCATTAGATTTTTATGTAGCAAAAGAGTTTTTTTTTTTTTTTTTTCAGAAATTTCAACACTTTTCATTTAGTAGCAAATTCCTATTGTATCTAATGCAGCTTACAGAATTAGGAATTGAAAACTTTGATATATGTTCATATATCTCAATTTTCTCAAAGGTTTAAGATACATATGGATGAAGAGAAAAATTACTGTAATTTTCAGATTTTCTATGAAAACAGAGGTCCTTAGTCTAACACACATTGTGCACATTGTAAGAAATAATGACCAAACCCCAGGCACTCTTTTACATTTATCACAAAAAAAAGAAGGGAAATGTGGTGTTTATTGTATTATTTTTTATTTCAGTTGATGTCTTTAATCCCCCACCCTTTGGTTCAGAGCTCAGCTCATTATCACAGACAGAGTCTGATAATAAACAGCTACCAAGTGTGCCACAAAGTATAAACCAGGGCTCCATCAATAACAATGGTAAGATTATTATTATTATTATTATTATTATTATTATCATTATTATTATTATTATTATTATTATTATTATTGGTTGAAGCACATTTTACTGAAAGCTAACATTAAAGATACATATTTTAAAAATTAGCCATAAATTAGTGAGGAAACATAGGAGGCTGGCAGTAATTAAAATGTTTCTTATTCATGATGGTAATATGAGTGCATTTCTGGTATTAGGTATATTTCTTAGAACCTGGAAATATGCCTTCATGTGTGTGTGGGCGACTTGAGTTGCCCCTTAAAGCATTATGTCTCCTATTTAATTTCAACCTTTTCAATTTTCAGATCAGTTTTTGAAGTCAAGTATTATGTATTTTGGTGGTGAGTTATTTTGAGTATTCACTGTATAATGATAAATACAGTGTGCGTTAGCATTTTTGCTTTTAATTACTGTCATGTGATCAAGTCCTGTTGATGAAGGATTGACACATCATTTTTTAGAAACAGTTTTACCTTTTCATCATCATTATTATGGAAGAAACAACAAAAAACTGTGCGCACCAGTTTAATAAAAATTGAATTGACTTATTTCTGTACCATTTCCAGAGGACTGCAGTACATATTGTGGAGAGAATGGCTACTGTATTTTGCCAGGCATCTGTGGTTGTAACCGTGGTTACCATGGACCAAGATGTCAGCACAGACGTCAACCCAGACATCGCTGTCACACTCTGCACTGCTTTAATGGCGGCCGGTGCCGGAGGGGGAAGTGTAAATGCCCTGCAGGGTACTGGGGGAAGAGGTGCCATAAATGTAAGCTTTATTTATTTTGTGCATTATATAGAGAAACATTTAAGGCACACAATGAGTAAAAATTTAAAATTTTGGAAATTTTAACATTTCCTTAATTACCACGTCATACCATATCCAAAACTGGTTACAGAATAAAGATCCATAAACTGTTTTGACTTCTGATTTTTTGGTTTTTAAAATGAAGCTGGAGGCTGTTGAATTTCCCTTTTGTTTGTAAAAGGACTCTAAAACAGATTTACAGATTCTACATAAAGATTTTATGTACATTGATGCCTTTGTACAAAAGTTTGAAAAAATTTTTAAGCTTGCTATAAATATTCCTATCAATGTGTATGTCTCACTGAGATTTATTAATCTTGCTGGTGGTACAGAACAAGGAGGCAACCTCCACCTCTCTTTACCTTTAGTAATAAAATGACATTGATGATTCTTTATAATATCTCATTTTTTATCTTTTACAGTGGCCATCTTTGGAGACCGGAAGAAACACGAAAGAAGAAAGAATAAAAGAAAAACAAAATCAAGAACAAAATGTGTGAAGCACCTTTTCAGGCATTTTAAATTGAAATGAATGCAGGGTATTTCAGTTTTATCACATTGTGCAATAATGTAATGCAAATTACTCACAAAATCAATACAATTTAATTTATAAAAGGAATGCAATTTAAGTTGCAGGTTCAGCATGAAAACTATAAGGGACTGCCATTAATTGTACATAGATGGGTTCAATCAAGCAGTCCAAGTACTGCTTCATACATCAATGTCTGTTAAGAGGAAGCAATTAAGTAACTTGTTTATAATCCATATTTATATACCTAGAATCTGTGCAATTATAGAACAGCTAAGACAGTATTTGGTAACATTGAAATCTCTTCAGGAAAAGCTAGCATATCCACAGTAATAGCCTAGTGCAGGAATACGACAGGTGTTGATAATAAAACATGCACAAAGTTTATCATAAAGCCTAGTTTTGAGGGATTATTATAACATTTTTACACAGAGATATGTATTAGAGATCTTTAACAAGAGGTACTTATAAAATCAGCTGTCATGTGTTCATTTTGTATATATGTGTATATACTTTTTAGTGCAAAGTACTTCAGCTAGTTTTTATAACGGGGGGGCAGCAGTTGCCAGTCTCTTGCCAAAATATGGGCTTCATTAGTTTCTTTTACTTTGTGTATCAGAATATCAAGATCTGAAAGCTTTCATTTAAAATGACCGAATGCCACATGCTACTTCAGATGTAACACATAACAATTAGGAAAAAATCACTTAAAGAATATACAAGGTTTAATACATGGGTGCTAACCAAATAATTGTATGCTTATAATATTACATGCCTCTCTGTTGAACATTTCCATATTTATTTGTTTGAGTTTGCAACAACATGTTCCTTTCATACAAATTTTGTTTTAAAAAATTACCCTTTTGTTCTGTAAGTGTAAATTGCAATATTTATAGGAGTTCAAAAAATGGAAGATAGCTTATTTGTTTATATTCAGTATTCCTGCTTCAGTCTTAGATATATAAAATCTTTTTCCCTAGAGGAAACCCATTGTATGTAAATATATATGTATATTTTGTATAGAACTCTTGAGATTATTTTTGAAACCGTGTATATATATGTATGTCTTTGTCAGTATTATATGTACCTGTATCCATGACATGTAAACTACAGCAAACGTTAGTCATAAGAATCACCCTAATACACAGTATTTTATCACAATGATTATTAATTGTGTTTATTAATTTAATAAAAATGATTTTGATTAACATTTGGAAGTTTTCTTTTGTTCTCCAGCTTTTAAGAGTAGTTAATCGTAATGAGTTACTTGTTGAGTAGTTTTGATGAAAAGGCAGGCAATAAGTACATTTTGATGAAAGGCAATGAACACAGGCTTCCTTAGATTGATACCATAATACCGAATATAGAAAATACAGAATCATTGTTACAACACCCCATGAAGAAAAGATGGAATTGACAAATACTTTTTTGCCAAGAAGTGGAGTATAGTGTAGTAAACGTATTAAAATACAGTCGGTGCATCTGATGGATGGAACAACGTCTGTCACTTTTATCCTCCGCCTCAAAAATATGTTAAATCTCTTTGTATGAAGTTCTTATCATTAGCAGATTTTTTAAAAAAAAAGTAAGTGTTATCCAACAGATTAAAGAAACTCGTATTTAAGTTAACAAATAGTCTCATTGGTGGAAAAATCCCACACCCAACAAAATTGCGATAAAAGAATCGACCACAACAGCCTGTCACAGTTGGTGCAGTTGAAATATCCACGCTAACTGCCAATTGTGCAATTGTGTTAGGTGAAATAAACTTAATTCTAGTTAACATCGCAACACACATTCGTATTTCCTCTAGCACAATTAAGCTCTGTGTTTTACCTGGTTGATTACCCGAACAATACTGTTAAACAGTAGAAGTAACAGCTACTCTCCGGGTACAAGCAGTTTGTCCAGTACCTAACACCAGTAAATCCTATATATACACTGATCTCGTGAGTGTTAGAGTGTCTTAAGCGGGATAACACTATGTAACATGCTGAGGAAATTACCATACGGTAAAGGGCTTATGATTACAGAAAGTGCGGGGGTGGGGGTTCATTCGTCCATTCGTCCATTCCGTTATTGAATCCATAGGCATTTCTTTTTTTAATTTGCTGTTGGTTTTCTTTGCCGTTACTGTTCTCCTTGTATTCCTTTTATTTTTATTTTCGTACTATTTATCTTAATATTTTCAACATTGCTATACATTAATTTAAAAAGAAATAATAATTTTAACAAAAGTTAGCGTTTATTGGCCATAGTTTACTTAGCTTGGGAAGTTGGGTGGTCACCAAAATGCCAGCGTATTTCCCGATACCAGTGTCAGTGTCATAACTGTCAATTTCCACTGACCAGCCCAACGGCTATCTCCTTATTACACAACTTTATTTACTGATGCCAGCTCTGAGTGGGATCGCTTGGATGACTGGGCACTGATATATATCATAACTCTAATCCTCCTAAATGAAGGATAACATGTATGATATAATATGCATAGGCATGGCGTCTGGATTAACGGGTGCCACGGAAAACACGAGTAATTTGGCTGGTAAGCTAAAGAGAAGGAGCCAAGGGGTCTGGAAAAGGCTGCCAACCCTCACACACACACACACACACACACACACACACACACACACACACACACACACACACACACACACACACACACACACACACACACACACACACTCACACACACACACACTCACACTCACACTCACACACACACACACTCACACACACCACACACACACACACCACACACACACACACACA